TTGGTATGCTGAGAGTACTTTGTTGGAATCCAGGAGGCCTGAGTCTCAGTCTAGCTTACCCACTAGTACCAGCATGACCTGTGTGTCTCCAGTTCCTCTTCTATAAAATCAGGGAATTCAGCTTTCACTAATATTTACTGAGAGTCTACTGGGAGTAAGATGATGAATGAAGTGTTTTTATATGCATTTGTTTCATTAAATGTTTATAGCAACCCTCTAATATATCTATTATTCTCCCTTTATGCCAATGAGAAAACAGAAGCTTAGATAGGTTAAGCAACTTGCATAAGATTGTGAAGTCAGTAAATGATGGAATAGTTTCTCAATTAGACACTAGATTCTATGTTTAGTGACTTATCCCACTCAATATCATTGTATCTTCCTGGTACGAGGTTAGACTGGTTAATCTCTAAGGCCTCCTTGAATCCTCAGATTCTATGATTCTGTAGAACTTTATTTATGATCATGAAGTTATCTAAGTAAAGTCATCTACCTGGAATATAAACAAGAACCAGGAAATAACAAAAACAATGAAAAAGGAGATGGAAGCAGGCATACTAATGTCAGTGAGAAAACAGTTAACCAGTGAAAACGGAGGTAAAATGATACCACCCCTTAGGAAATTATATAATAATAACGCTAGAGGGAGGAACTTGAAGAACAGAGAATCAGAGACCCTCAGCATTGGACAGTTCCATAGTTAGGTTAGTATCTGGTTCATCTTCTCAAACAATAGAGGGATTTCTTAATATGGGTCTGACATCCTCAGCCACAGGGTACTCACTGAGGCAGGCCTTTCCAATTTTAGATAGTTCTAATTATTGTGTTTAAGGCAGTGTCTGTCCCTGCTGCCAGCCCTGTTAGCTCCTCACCAACCCACTGGTCATTGGTCTCCTCATTCCTCTGTGGCAGGAGTGCTGCCCTTTCCTAGGAGAACCATTCAGAAATTTCAAAACAGCTCTCATGTCTACTGAGTCCCAGTTTCTTCATTTGTTTCTTACATGGCATGGTTTACACTTCCTTTACCTATCTGGTTACTCTCTATTCTGCAGGGGGACTATCATCCTCTTGTTCTAGAACAGTATTCAACTACATGCTATCACGGGTTTTTTCAGAAGTCAGGCAACACCCCTAACGTACTAAGTTCACAGTCATCTAAAACCTATCGGTCTTTCCTCTAACCTTCAGTATCTTTTACACTGATGCAACAGAGAAGCTAAAGTACTACCACACCTTATACTCTGGAGCTAATTTTTTTCAAACCAAATGCCAGACCATTGGGATCTTTATCAGATAGATCTCTATCACTCCAAAACTGATCTGTTCCTCCTACTTCTGTACAAAAGCGATATGCCTGCTTTCTATGCCTCTCACACACCAGACTTAAGCCTGAATTCTCTGAATGTACAGAGCTAACCAAGGAGCCCATGCTGGGATACATCTTACCATAACAGCTTTCATTCTCTTTTGGAAACTCAAACCGTGCCATTTCTAAAATGGAAGCAACTGGGGCTAATGGGCTAGGGGTAAGCAGTGTGCGAAGGGGAGAGGGGTGTGTGTGTGTGCACACACTTGCACATGTGCATGCCTACACTTTCACAGATTTATAATTGTCCATTCTAATATTTCCCATTTGGTTCATCTTTGTATCTTCTATTTCTTTGCTGAGAGATTTTCTATTTTGTCAGTTGTTCAAGCGTATTTGTGATTGCATGTTGAAGCATTTTTTTGATAGCTGCTTTAAAATCCTGTGAGATAATCACAATATCTATTTGGCTGTCTTTTCTCACTCAGCTATAAATTTTCCTGGCTCTTGGTATGATGACTGATTTTTAAATTGTGTCTTGGACATTTGGATATTAGGTTATGACTCTGGATCTTACTTAAATCTTGCATTTTAGACTACCTCCCCTGATACCACACTGATGGGGGGAGGCGGTGACATGTTGTTACTGTCAGGTAGGGATGGAAGTCCAGGTTGCCCACTTGGCCTTCACTGACACCCCCAGGGGGACGGGAGGGTGTCCCATTCTTGTTCGGTGAGAGTAGGAGTTCAGGCTCCTCACATAGTTTCTGCACTGATACCACACTGGCTGGGAGCTGGAGAGGGAGCATGTTACTTTCCCCCAAGTGGCCTCCACAGGAGGGTGGTGGTGAAGTCCCAGCTTCCCACTCAAACTTCTCTGAAACCACCATAGTGGAAGGGCATTGCACGAGTGCTTAACTGCTTCTTAAGGCCTCAGATTTTTCCAGAGTAACACTCACTGTCACTTCACAGGGATTTGTCTTGTAGCGGTTAATATTAGTGGAGGGAAAGGCAGTAGTGTGAGGAACAGCTGACGATTCGTGATCCATCAGCAATGTAAGATGCTGTGCTGACACTTTCACCCACATCGTCACACTTGACCCATACAATACTCCCACAGAGCAGTACTACTATGCCTATTTTCAGAAAAGAAAACTAGGGTTTAGAGAGGTTAAATTATGGCAGAGTCAGGCTCTCAATCTAGGCAGTCTCCCTGCTGAGCCTGAGCCTTTAACTACTTGACTGTACCACAGTGAGGGTTAATCAAGATGACACGTGGAAGTGCTTGGAAATTAGAAAGCACTAAACAAGTGCGAGGGAATTTTTATTACCACTTTCCAGAGTACTCACACAAGTGACCATGATTAGGTAAATGAAAATTCAGGCTTAATCCAATGTTAATCATTTAAACATTGTTTCCCTTTGTAACAGCTACTCAAAAGACGCTACTCAAAAGATGCTTCATATTCAGCAAAAGCTGCAAGCAAGTACCTCTGAAAGTTTCAAAGGTAGAACTTTAGGAAAATATACATACATATTACCTTCTCATAGGCATTTCTACATTTTGCATATATAGAAATGAGAGCTGAATCTTGGTTTAATCTCTTCAGAAAGGTTTAAGGTGAAACTTGTGAGGAGAGACAGGTTATGGATAATCACTGAGCCATGCTTATCTACTTTATAAAAAGGAGATTAACACTGTGGAGGAACTCCTTCAGTTTAAGGAAGTACTTTTTTTTTCTATTTATTATGTTATGTTAATCACCATACATTACATCATTAGTTTTTGATGTAGTGTTCCATGATTCATTGTTTGCTTATAACACCCAGTGCTCCATGCAGTTCCTGCCCTCCTTAATACCCATCACAAGGCTAACCCATCCTCCTACCCACCCCCCCAGAACCCTCAGTTTGTTTCCTGTAGTTAAGGAAGTACTTATATGTAGATCATGAAGTACATGAATTCACACCAGAAAGGAAACGTATGTCATCCACATTTCACCTATATTTGAAATAACAGTATAATTCTCTGATCCACAAAACACATTAGCCTACAACAATTTCTTTCATTCACTTATCAAATATTTTTCAAATACTATGTCCTAGGCTCTATGACGAGCTCAATGGTGAAGATAAAGACATAGTTTCACTCTCAAGAGTTCACAGGTAAATATACCAGAATTAGAATTCCATGTGGTAAGTGCAACAACCCTAGAAATAAACTCATGGCACTGTGAGGACTGGTGCAAGGAACACTGCCCAAAGGAGGTACCTCCTGAGCTGGGTCTCATAGCAAGGGATGAACTTCGCTTGGTGGGGTGGTGGTGGTGTGGGGCAGCAGAATGCACCAAAGCAAACAGGATGAAAAAAGGCATTAGAGTGTGTGGACACTCAGGGAGCTGCAGGTTACTGGGTGCAGCCAGAGCAGCGGGAAATCAGACTGTCAGATCACAGAGGCCTGGGGTGCTTCATTAAGGAATTTAGCTCTTAATCTAGAAGGTTAGCCAGTGAAGGATTCATTTCAGAAAGAGGACTTGTCATAATGTGTAGGCTGTTATGGAAGAGGTTAAAACTAAAGGCCGGGAAGGAGGCTACTGTATTGTTACAAATGAGAGATGATGGGGAATGGAGAATAATCTCATTAAACTGCATATCTGGGAAGTGGAGAGGAAGGAGTTATTCACCAGGATAGGGAATAGAGGAGAAGGGAGGACAGTCCCAGTTTTGGACATGGTAAGTTTCGGATACTAGGTATGGAGATGCTGATTTGGGATCACCAGGGTATGGATAATAGTTGAAGTCATAAACATAAAACTGTCCATGAAGATTGTACAGCTTGATGGGGAGGAGAAGAAAAACTCAAAAAGGAATCCTGGGAAACATCAACATTTGCAAAATGGCCCACTAGGAGGACAGTCCAGAGGGAGACTTATATAAACCAAAGGAGGGAAGATTTTCAACCTGGGAATCACTGGTCATCTTGGTGAAAGCATTCTGAGTAGATGGTGGGAGGAAAAGCCCAAGTACAGTGGATAGAAAGTGAATGTGTAGTGATGAAATGAAAAGGGTGGGGGCAGATAGCTCTTTAAGATGCTTGGTTGTGACAGAAAGGGGTGGTAAATGGGACAGAAGCCCATGAGCTGTGCCTTCTCTTGTATTGGGGAAAGAACAGGGCCTAATGACAATGAAACAATAAAGCCTGATGATGCTGGGGTCTTCCACGTGACAGCTTAGTTTTTGGCAGCTTGGACAAAAACACATGCAGGAATTAAAACTGTCAGAAAAATATGGAAGTGCTAGTCTGAAGACAGGTAATCTGCTCCAACAAAGAAGCCCGATTTTCCCAAGTTAATGATAGGCAATAGTAAGTTTTCAAAATTATGTCATTTACTTGTTTTTCTAAAAATACCTATCAAATATCTATTAAACTTTATGTAAAACACAATTTAAAAAAGGTTTCAGTCTTCCCCTTTCACAACATTGATCTGGGGAACAAATCCCCATATATTTCTTAGGGCAAGCACTAAATCTCAAAGGAAGGGAGAATATGTGTGATTTGAAAAAAGTAACTGTAGAGGGTCTTCCAGGCCGTTCCAGGAGGCTGTCCCACCTAGAGAGAGGGCGGCACAAGTCTGCTTCCTGAGCCCGAAGTCGAAGGCACGTGACCGAAGAAGCAGAGATCACCGTGGGGCCTCTGATCTTCCTGGGAAAGGCTGGTGATCGTGGTGTGGAGGGGCCCACCTCTCCTCACACCTCTGTGTTGCTGGGCTTAGGCCTGGCCACGGTGGTATCCCTCACTCTGGCTACCATGGGCCTGGTCCTTGCCCTCCGGAGGCACCGTACTGCTTCTCGCTTGGTGATATGCCCTGTGTCTGTTCCCCAATAAAAGAAGAAAGTGAAAAAAAAAAAATGGCTTCAACTATTATATCCATACCCTGGTGATCCCAAATCAGCATCTCCATACCTAGTATCCGAAACTTATCATGTCCAAAACTGGGACTGTCCTCCCTTCTCCTCTATTCCCTATCCTGGTGAATAACTCCTTCCTCTCCACTTCCCAGATACGCAGTTTAATGAGATTATTCTCCATTCCCCATCATCTCTCATTTGTAACAATACAGTTACCCTTCTAGAGGGTCTCTCTGCATTCCCACAGAGCCACTCTAGGAAGGCAGTTCAGTAAATACTAGTTTAAGTGTCTCAGTGTGTCCGGTACAAGGTTTGGAGGCAAAAGCAATGGATTTTAGTATGGCTTCCCCACTAACTTTGTATGTGGCCTTGCACGAGTTATTTAAGACTCTGAGTGTGTTCCCTCATCTGAAACTTGAAAGGGTTGTATGAGAGAATCTTTAAAGTTCTTAACAGCTCTTGATATTTTATGATATGTTGACAAGTGGGTCTAAGGTTGTTGATTTAGCTTTTCTTTTCTCTCTACTTGGTGATTTTCAAGAGCACATGGAAAGATTTCCTTCCATGCCTCCTGTTCCAGCCATTTGCCACACTGTTCCCACCTGCCTAATTCCTACGTAGGTTTGGTTTCCAACACCACTTCCTCAATGAGGCCTTCTCCTACCTTCCTATTAGGAAGGAATCTCTCCTTTCTCTGCCCTCTCAGAACACCTGATCTTTATTTTGCTTATGGCATTCTTTGCTTTGGCATTCATGTTTTATTTTACTAGACCAGAGGATGGTGCACATTTTCTATAAAGGGCCAGATAATAAATATTTTGTGCTTTGTATATCACACAGTCTCTATCACAACTACTCAACTCTACCATTGTAGGGGGAAAGCAACCAAATGTAATGAATGGGTGTGGCTTTGTTCCAATAAACTTTATTTACAAACAAGTGATGGTTTGACATGTGGATCCTAGTTGGCTGACCTTTATGCTAGACTATAAGGTTCCTGAGAGCAAATTCCACACTCTAGTCTCTCCGTGTTCTTTGTGATGTCTAGTATAGCATATTCTTGACTGAAGAGGGCATATAAATAAATTAAATAAATTGTGCTCACTTAAAATACGAGGAAAGAAAATCAATAGCCATTAACTTTATGTATTTCATATCAAGAAAAAATGAGAGAATGAATATGAGTGCATACGAAGATGTGTAGTCATTAGCTCTCTGGCTTGTTTCTCCCCTCAATAATCCAGTTGGTGTCTTTACATCACTGTATTTTGGACAGAGTATTTTTTTTTCCCCTTCTAAATCTAGGGCACAGTAAAATTTCACTTAGCATACAATGCCAGAAGTCAAAGGACCCTTCTGCATGTACACAAAAGCACATTTCCCTCAATTTTTTGTTTTGAAAAATGTCAAGCTGTCACAAAAGCCTAAGAATAGTATACACTGAACTATATACTCTTTACCTAGACTCACCACTTGATATTTTGTCACATTTTCAAAAGCACACTTTAAAAATAAATTTTATTCTAAACTATACCCATTTTAAGTGTATGCTTCAATAAGTTTTGACAAATGATAATATCCATGTAAGAACCATCATAATCAAGATACAGAACATTTTCAACACCCACAAAAGGTCCCCTGTGCTCTCTACCCCTGAGGCTCTAGGCAATCACTACTATGCTGTGTCATAGATTATTTTGCATTTCATAAAATTTCAAATAACTAGAATCATATAGTAGGTAGACTTTTGAACTGGATTTTTTTTCACTCTGAATAATGCTTCCATGAATTCTGAATAACTCATCCATGTTGCTGAATGTATCAATAGTTCATTCCTTTTTTTTTTTGTAGTTTTTAATTTTATTATATTATGTTAGTCACCATACATTAGTTTTTTTTTTTTTTTAA